GGTGCTGTGCTGTGCTGCCGTGCTTGGAGGGGGGCGGCAGTTCGCGTCCCCGGGGTTCTGAACGCTGCACCGCGCGTCACCGCAGCAGCGTGCAATTTGTTCTTTAAAACATGACGGTCACAGAGTAGCTGCGGTTGGAAATGACCTTTAAGGCCATTGAGTCCAGCTGCAAACGCGGCGCTGCCGAGTGCCTCTAAACCACGTCCCGAAGTGCCACATCTGCAAGTCTTTTGAACACCTCCAGGGATGGCGACTCCACCACCTCCCTGGGCAGCCTGTTCCAATGCCTGACAACCCTTTCAACGAAGGAGTTTTTCCCACTGTCCCATCTAAACCTCCCCCGGCACAGCTTGAGGCCATTTCCTCTCATTCCGTTGCTTGGGAGAAGAGACAGACCCCGACCTCACTACAGTCTCCTTTCGGGTCATTGTAGAGAGCGAGAAGTTCTCCCCTCAGCCTTCTCCTCTCCAAGCTAAACAACCTAGTGAAGAACTCATCGATAAGTGCAAAACAACTGCTTGAGAACATAACACCGCAATATCTTGCAGTATCTCCAAAGGACAGCCCAAAAATATAATTTTAAATTATGCTTTTTATCACACCCTGGCAAGAAGCAGACTAAGTGTTGTCTTGTCATCACCAGCCTTGCCAAGCAAAGTGCAGGTACCCATGTTCATTAGCTTTTCTACAACATTCAACAGCAAAGTTGAATTCTGCCATTTAAACACAATCAATAGAGAACATGTACAAAAATCTGCAATTTAGCCAAAATCTGAGAATATGTACCTGTCCGCAGCCATTTTTAGAGATGACATAGGGCAGAACTCCTCCTCTGCTAGAGCTGGTTGGCAGCTATCTGATCTATCACAGATCACCTTGCCGGCTAATTGTGTGCTCATCTTACACCTACACACAGCTGAGAAACAGAAAAGGCCACAAAGATGCTCAACAAAAACCAATACTTTTATTTTTTTCTAGTGTTTGCTTTGTATTTAGTAGCAATCAGCATCAAAACACAAAGCCTTGTCATCCCTATTCTTTCTGACCACTAAGGGGAAGGCCAGAAACCGAGTTAAACATCGTGGTTCTGTTAAATTGATGGAAATTTCACCCCTCCTTTCATCAGGACCAGCATTTCATTCCTGAACTACTGTCTTCCTTCACAATTTCTTTAAATGCTTTGGTGTGTTAACTCTTTCAGAACAAAAGTCTTCTTCCTACACGCATGTTGTGAAGTTCGTTTATCCTTGCCAGTTATAAACAAGCATAGGTAGATTTATTTCCAATACTACTTTTAACGTCCTGTAATCCCCCTAGCCATTTTCTTAAGGAAGTTCAACTCTGATAATCTCAAAGTTAACCTACACTCTCAATGAAAAATTTAAATATTTTTTCAGAGGCAGCTGAGAGCAGTCTCCCCGCTGGCAGCAGCCCACAAAAAGTCCAGTGCTGAAGTCATGAAAAGCAGGCTTTTCTGCTGTGACCTTCAGGTGACACCCATCACAGTAACGATGCGCTTTCTACCAGTATGGTCATCATCTGGATGTCTCACCTCAAGCTATACTGAGGAGCACACTCTCAAGAAAAGACCATTCAGTCTGGTTCCCCCACATGATCATAGACCAAGCAAAGAGTCAGCAGCATGTGCTGACATAAAAGCAAATACTGAGACTTCCTCTTTGAGGTGCCGGGTTTTTTCCCCCCCTCTCACTGGGGTGAGTTCTCTGGCTGAGCCTGGTACAGAGCATATCGATAACAACAGGAGTCGGGGGGAAAAGAGCACAGCGACAGAGGATATCCAGGTATCCTGCTGAGATAGCCAAAGGATGCTGGGAGGCATTAGGGAACAGCCAGAGGAAGCTCCCCAGCCAGCCCCTCGGCACATCTTCCAGGAGAGGCAGAGGATCACAGGTCTGCCTCTGTACTTCCAAGGTTACCTGTCTGTCCGGCACTCAAGATGCCAGGTAAGGTGCACAATCCTGGGCAGTGGTTGTGTTGAAATATTTCTTCAAAAATGAATTGCCAGGAGCTTCCAGGTCTATGGAAGGAAATGTTTCTCAGCACTAGCTGACACAAATGGTTGCACTGAAATAGTGATATCTAGTTATTTCTGTTCATATTATGTGTGGGGGGGTGTAAAATAAATTGTGTAAGGTAACCATTAAGGTAACCTTCAGTATCTCCAGGATTCCGTTAGAATTTACTATTACCTACTGAAATGTGAATTGAGTTTTACTGATTTCATAGCTACCACCATGGTGAAAACCTAATGCAATACTTTTAATACCAAGAGCAAAGTTTGACTAGCTTATGTTGCTCTGACACATCCTCTATTTATTGGAGAACAGTGTCCACCTTGAAGTCTTCAGTGACATGACATCTGAAGTATATGTGAGATTCTCTACATGTTTGGGGTTTTTTCTTGTAGTAAGGGCTAATAATTTAGCATATGTGGACTAACTGGGAAAATAAGTGATTTTTTTGACTCAAGATAATTGTTTAAGACGCAAATCTGTAAACACCTATGTACTTGTGTATGTTACAATAGCATGATAGCATGTATGTTCAGAGCATGTTCCTCATCAAGCTGATTGCCTTTTTTTTAGTGCTTGATAATGACAATCCCTGTACTTAGGGTTACAAAGTTGTTTTTACACTACCTACACTCATATCTCTGAAGATGCAGGAGCACAGAGTAGAGAAAATGAGTCACACAGTGCCAAAGGTAGATATAATCAAAAGACCAAAATAGCATAGTGGTTCACAAACACAGGAACAACCAGGTACCACAGAAAATAGGAACTCCAAGAAACAAAAAGTAGACTAATAATCTTACTATTAATTCTTCTGCAGCACTAGAAATTATTCAACGCATTGCTTTGTTGTATCTGGCAGAAGAACACCTGCAAGTTTAATAAAGCTCCCTGTTATATTCCTTTCTTTATATCCTTTTATGTAAAAGCTTCTTTTTCTCCCCTGAACAATTCCTCCTTCTGAAATTCAGTTAACTACCATATTGGAATAACAAAACCTAACAGGACAGAGCAATAATACACATCCAATCTGAAGAGACTTATGTGGGACTAAGTCTGACCAGATGCCCAAGAGAAAAACGTAAGTGAAGTAATAGCAAATGCTCTTGGGCAGCTCCTGTTACTATGTTTCCACGGAGCAGAAAGCACAGCACCCAAGGTGCATTGCAAACATTTCCCATGACATGCAGCCCTGTACCACAGCAGCATTCACAGCCTTCATTAACTTGCCAGGGACAGACAGTTTAACGAGGATGTTTACCTTGACACCACACTGCAGTGCTCAGAGGTTGGGGTCCAGAGGCTGAATGCTATAGAAATTTTACACTAGTAATTTGACAGAAAACACCAGAAATACTAGTTAGGAGCTAGCAGGGTAAAGAGCAAGGATCACCTGCAGGATACTCTAGGGAATGTCGCTCACCCTAATTCACATAACCTATCAGACTTCACAAGTTATTTCTTTTCTCAATTTTTGTGACTGTGTTTTAACACACACTCCAAAAGAACCCCACCCCAAAATGAACAAAAACCCCAAAACGAAAACAAACAACAAAACAGGTAAGTAAACTGAAAAGTAGAACAGCTTCTGTTTTATGGAAGTTGCCCTCCCAATTCAGTGTCTCGTAACAGCTACAGTTCTCAGGGTAACAGGGGCACGTGAAAATGGAAAAGAAAAACCTTTCCCATCGCTCTGGCATGACTGCATTAGGGAACAGTTAGAAGAGTCAGACAATCATGTTTTCCTTGGCATGGTGTTGATTTATGAACACTACTAAACGTAATTTAAAGACAAAGCATGTAAAATACCACTTCAAATGCAAGAAGTCCAGTCAATAGGTCAGACTACCATCAAGCTCATTGATTTTCTCCCTATAGCAAGTAAGCTGGCAGGATCAAAATTCAATGCAAATAGGCACTTCAGGAGAATGGTATTCAGAAGATTGGAGTCTTTACACATGGCTATCTCACAGTATTTTCCACTTGTAGTGTCTTTTAGGGAGAGCAAGGTTTTGAAGTGGCATTGAAAATATATTTTCTTTCCATCACATACTCCCTTTAAATTGTTTAACAAATCGTTGACAAATGTTTAAAACATTTAGATTAGTTAAAAGTAAAGTTTTATAGTTCCATGCTGGATTAGGATACTAGGAAACAAAGCCTAGAGCCTATATATCTTTTTGCCTGTAGAGAATAATTTGCTGAACTTTTTTTTGCATAAACTGCCTGCAGAATACAATACTCTCTAACAATCTTTAAACACTGAAAACTAATATATGACGACACAGTTTTTTCTCAGCAGTTCTTTCACTTTCAGCATGTTGTGGGAACTAAAAAGATTATCCTCACAAACTGACACTTCTTCCCTTCCAACAGGAATTTAGAGTGTATTGGACAGAACTCAGAGGAACTACGCTCTTCTTTTATGATGACAAGAAAGCCCCAACAGTGAGTAATGTGCTGTGTTTGTAACTACACAGCTGACTGAGTGCATCAGTTACTTCCATCAAGTAATCCTTATGTACTCCAGACACCTTTCAGCACCCTTTCCTCTCTCATCTGCATAGTCCGAAAAAATAGCACTGAACATTGTAGAAGAAAGGCTGAGATCAAAAAAAGCTAAAGTGAACCAAACTACAGCATATTAATTTGCCTCAATGAAACAAAAGAAAGGAGTAATTTTTTGGTACCTGAGCTACAAACGTATCAACATTGCTCCATTTTACCGAGTGCTTTTTCCTCAGCTGTGCATAAGGGTAAAATTGTGGTCTGCCACAATGACTTTCCTTTATGTTGCTGAGGGAAAAGTGCTTGGTATTAATATGGTGTACTCTGTCTGAAGGTTAGTTGGAGTCGCAAAGCAAATACTCATGGATTTAATCTGTTTGTGATTATGAAGATTAGGATGGGAAAAATCCAGAAGGTACATTGTTGGCGAGAAGCAAAGGACTGAGCATGTCTGTCAGTTAAACTTAATCCAAGTTCTAGCAAAAAAAAATTTCAATCTATTTTCTTCTAAACAAATTCCTTTGGAGAGCAGACAGATTTTTGGTGAAATTTACAACTTGTGCTATTTCTCTTTTCCCCCTGCCTTAGTACTCACAGAAATTAGATATATCAGCTTTGACCTCAGCCACCAGTGTTTACCCAGATGAAAGTGGCTCTGCACATTTCATCCTGAAGCTGTCAAATGGAGAACTAGAACTGAAGGTAAAAAGAGGAAAATTGTAATTTGTAAGCCACTTGGTACTTTACTCCATCTCCCACAGACAGTCAGAGCTCCATTTTGGTGTGGGAGTAGAGCTGCCTTCTTGACAAGTAAGCATAAAGCCTGCAGCCAGCCAGCACCGAAAGGCAGTCAGAGCGGGAGGCAGGACAAAGGAACCTAACACCAGGGAAACGCTCCCTCAAGGCATTAGAAGTTTTTCTCAGGAGTATCTGGGAATATGAAATGAGCAAAGAACTGAACAAGAAAATATACAAGAGAAACCAGGAAGTACCACACTGACAGGCCCACATCTCCTGTAAAACCAAGAAGAGGATAAAATATCTGACCACCGCACCGTTCAGAAGCCATGCGGACTGTAGTGCCCAGGATGTATCTAGAAGGTTTTATTCTTGAGACTCACTTATCTCCTTAGCGTGGCCTTCTCCTCGGATCCACACAACCTTCTCCTTTTGCTCCAACAGAGCATGTGATTTTGTTACCTTCCCACCTCTGTCCTTTCCCTCTAATTGAACACAGAGTACTGGGGAAGTGCAGGTCTTCAGGGTGTGATGTAGCCTGGCAGGGAGCTCATTTCTGGGCATGGTACTTCTAAGAGGGTGAGAGTTACTTCAGGCTTCCTCATGAAATAGCATGGGGGCTTTTGTTGCTGTAGTTGTTCTTACACTGCCATTTTCTGTTGTCTCAGGCTAGTGACTGTGAATGTGGGGAAGAATGGAAGGGGTTTATTCTCACCGTAACAAAGGTATGGAAGAATTTTATATCTCAATTCATGTCAAAAGTGTCTGTAAGGGGGTTTTGTCTTCACGCATGCCAGCAGCTGGCTTCCACAGGCACAAAGCCCCACTTCTAAGGTGTTGCACACACAAAACTGTTGAGGCGTTTCGTTGGTTTCGTTTTGTTTTTTTTCTTGAGGAGAGCAAGATTCAGGCTGATTTAACCCCAGCTCATCTGCAATACACACTCTGCCACAGTACCTAGTCAGACACAGTTCCCAATCCACTGTTTGCTGTCCAGGAAGGAAAAGACTTCTAGCACAAGTGCATTCCTTGCAGCTGTGAAAAAAAGGAGCCTGCTCTGAGAAAGACAACTCTCTAGATCTTTATCACGGGCTAAAGACATAACCAAAGAAGTGGCTGAACTGCGCACCTGAGAGAAACCCTCAGCCCTGTGTTTTATCCTACTATTCTTTTTAGCTAAATGCACTTTGAAAATAGCAAGGCCCTCTTTGATAATGACCAGTGAATAAATAAATGACATTTGTTCACAAATGACGTTACATTGGCCTAGCTGAGTCACTTGAAAAACTGAGGATGGCTGAAATAGGTTAAATTACATTTACACAGCCTTTTGCAGAATAGCAACTGCAAAATATTGTTGTGGATTCTTACATAATTTCCCACCTCTGTCAATGCACATTTCTTCTAAATCAGGAAACAGATATCCTTATTTCACTATTCTAATAAAAACACATGTGCAGCATTTCATTCAAAGCAGAGGCATATCCAAACCTTCCAGATTATCTCAGCTGCTTCAACCAAGCAGGTAAGAAACATTTCTGCACAGCAGCTGCACTCAAGGATTAGCTAAGATGCATACACAGAAACAACTGCTCTCAATGATTGTCCACTCTTTCATTTTCTTTTCAATTACATTGTTCATTTTCAGCTGTCAGTTCCATCAGATGAGTCATTACTACCTGGGCAGCGTACAAGAATGCATGAAGTGCTGGCGAAGGAAAAGGAAAGAAGAATTACACTGAACAACTGTTCCAGTGCATCCTTGAACAGAAAAAGCCCTCCCAGCAGTACACTGACCACTATGCCAGCGTAAGCTCTGACTGAACTGTACCAGCCCCAACCTGATTAAAGAGCCTTCCCTCCTTCTTTCAAAGTATTATTTCCATGCAGAGGTTCAAAATTCAGCTGTTACACAAGGGTTGTATAATGCTCAGTGAACAAAATCTACCTTAAGGCCTTTATAGAGATTTCCTAAGGGAACGATTACTCTTGCAGCTTTCCTACAATGCCTTTTGTTTTGAAAAGGCTGAGTGCAGCATATTGCTATGCTTAGAAAACTTTTCAGAAAGCCACATGTTGTGCTGCCGTATCAGCCCATTTGAGAAAATGCTGATTACCATCGAGAAATTCAAGGGAAATCCAGGTTACTCTTCTCACCTTTTTTCCAAGGGTCCAGAAAGCAGCATACCTGTATGAAAGCTTTGCTTTCTCTCTGAGAAGGCCAAAGCACTGCTGTCCTGAATTATGCTCCTATAGTAGCATTAATCAGCAAGAGTCCTTCAGGTGTCATGCCTCTTGGCAGCCATGGCGAGTTACCCTGGATAAGCCTAGCGCCGTGAAGAGGTGTTAGCCCGGCACACCGTGTCCCTTCACACAGCTCAGAATGACGCGGCCTTGCCAGCGTAACCCGCGTTCATGCCATTTCTATCTCCCTTCTACGCAGGTGCTTCTATGCAGTGTCTCGGCAAGAAGCGATAAAGATGTTAGAAAAGAATCCTTCGTGTGGGAATTTGATCCTTCGTCCCAGCAGCGACAGCAAGAACTACGCAATCACTGCCCGACGTGAGCTGGAGTAGGTTGATTCCACAATACATTATCCCATTCTTCACTAGCGTGCGCTGTATTAAAAGCTGAATTCTTCATACCTGGAGTTGATAAGTGAAACGTATGCCTTGCCTTCAGGCTACTTTAGGAAAGACAAATGAGGCAGCAGGGGCCGGCCTGAGGCTGATTTCTTGGTTCTCTGCTCCTCCAAAGCCAGTTCGGTTAAACAAAGAAGCAATAAAGATCAGCCAGCAAAAGCCCCCTTCCTTGGGAAATGGGCTTCCCCTGTTTGCCATGAAACCCTACTCAGTTTAAGAAATCATCTCACAGAATGAAAATGGAACAAGCTGTACCCCTTTGTAAAATGAGTAATGAAAGAGACAAGTATTTTCAAAGAGTAACTTAGTCTAAAAACACACCACATTTCAACTGAATTGCCATGTTTTAGCTTTTGCAGAGCTTCAGAACAAGAGGGACCTGAGATACCGGGAATGACATTCAAAATTCTCTAAACTAAAATGGGAAAAAACAAACCCTCTGCACACCTTCAATAAGCTCTGGGGATATTACAAAGCACACCCATTGCTCCTGCAAAGGAGTTTATGATGACAACGAAACATCAGAAAGTATTTCATTTCAGGTAGCATATCAACTTTAATTTTCTTTCAGTGACCCATGCTTAAAGCACTTCAAAGTGATGTCCAAAGGAACAAGTTACGTTCTCGAATTAGAAAGACAGGTAAGTGAGCAATTCCCTTCTTGAAGATTCTTAAGCAGGTGTAAGAAACAGCCCTTTGCAGAAAATCAGAAAAGCTCTAGTAAATTCCTAATTATAATTTGTAAATCAAAGTCAAGTATGCAGAGTTCAGCTCTCTTGTTAGTCCAACTAGCCTAATCTCAAAGAAAAAGCATCTTTTAAGAACTAGCAAAGTGGGACCCCCCTCCATCAGAATCTCTCTAACAAAACCAAACTCAAACCACTCACGAAACACTCAAGATTGCTTAACTTACTTTTTTTTTCAACTCAGGCTTTAGTACAAAGCCTGAAAACTGAGCTCTCATTGCAGCTAGAGGAAGTTCAACACACACTCCATATAACTATGAGAGATAAAATTAACTTAGTTGAAGGGTGAGCGAGGCTGTACGGTCTGTACATATTTGTTTTAAAACAGTTTTCTTCCACTTTTCTTAAGACATGTTTAACTCATGGCCTGAGAAACATCCTGTTGGTTTCACCATCTGCTGAAAGAGGACCAGCAATCATTGAAGAGCACAACAGTGCAGAGAGCGATCTCTTTTGGTGTGTTTACTCGTTTGATGGAAGGGAAGGATTTAATACGTTCAAGGGTCAAAACCTTTCCATAGGTTGCAGAGGGCTCTCCCAGACCTCAGTGCATCCAAATGCTGCATGTAAATCCTGTAGCAACTGAGAAACACTGCTAGGGATTCCAGCCTGCCAGCATGTTTTTGGAAATGTGTGCTCCACACGCATAGCATGTTTTATTTAACTGGCTAAAGGACAGAGCTCAGAGTTGTGATCAGTGGT